AAGCCTGAAGCCTGAAGCCTGAAGCCCAAACCCTAAACCCCAAACCCTAAACCCTAAACCCTAAATCCGATTGAAGCCGAAGCCACCGTTGTTCCCAACCAGGGCAAGGCCAAGCCGGAAGACTTCGACACCGAGCTTCCGACAGGGATCGCCACGGTGCAGGCCTTTTTTGTTTGTTTGTTTGCACCCCCAAACTCTAAACCCTAACCCCTACCTTAACCCCAAAGAACCTACCTTTCGGGAATCATAATTAATAAGGATCCCTAAAAAGGTTTGGGGCCTCTTCGTTGAGGGGTTTGAGGCTGTTGTTCAACGCTCTTTGTGGCCTTTGTGGCTTCATAGCGGTTTAGGCAAGATGCTACTGGAATATGGACACTCAGACTTGCCCCAACCCCGTGCAAATCACAGAACGAATAAACTTGAGTACACTCCTCTAGCGGTTTAGGGCTTTGGGTCATTATTTATGGCCTGAGGGCGGCGTTGCAGGCTGTTCTAAGTCTGCCTTGACAGGGACTTCGAGGTGGTCTCTGTGGGGTTTTTCTCAGTTGCGGATCCGTCCGAAGAGGCTTCCAGAGATTTGAATGATTCTGTTGGGGAGGACTGGGGGGGAGCGGGTTTGAGGCAGTTTGATTCAACTCTGGGGTGGCTGAAAGGGTGCATTGGAGGTTCTTTTGGTCTTGCTTGAGGCCCGTGGCATTTGATAGGGGTTTGCTTGAGAGGTTGGGCTTCTCTTGAAGTGAATGGGCGGTCAGTGTCAAAAGGGCAAAATGGAGGAATGTAAAGCAACCGTCGGCTTGACCATGGACAACCCTAAACCCCTAAACCCCTACACCCTTAAGCCCCTAAACCCCTAAACCCTAAACCCCTAAACCCTAAACCCTATACCCCTGTACCCCTGAACCCCTACACCCCTAAGCCCCTAAACCCTATACCCCGAAACCCCCAAACCCCCAAACCCCCCAAAAGAAGCTCTCAAAACGGAGCGCGGAAGCTTCTCCGGGCATTCCCCCCTGCCCAGACCTGTCTGACCTTTAGGGTTCAGGGTTTAGGGTTTAGGGTTCAGGGTTTAGGGTTTAGGGGTTTTGGGGATCCCCTCCACAAGTAATTATGTAGAATTGTAGCCTTCTATAGGTGTTGGGCCGTTATTTTACCTACTTTTGGGGGTCTAGGTAGGTGCTTGCTTCCTGCTACTACTTTTGATGACTGGCTGTTGATGATATAAATCCTGCAGTACTGTAGTAAGGACCCTAAACTATTGGAAATTACGGTGTATTCCGTGTTATGGGCAATGCAGGAAGTATAACATCAGCCGTAGTTCGCTCTACTCATGTCGGTGACGACGTCGATTCTGGTGGTGGTGTGATGATGGTTACTCTCGGTACTCTTACAAGTTCCTGTTATGATGACATTTGTTCTAGTGCTGTCCTTATTTGGTTTTGTTGTGTAGGGCCAATGCCAATCCAGGTGACTGCCATCCTCGAGGCTGTTTCGTCGGGGGCATTCCATGGGTTGTGGGAGGATTCGGCGAGCTGGTAGCGGCCCCGCATAGAAGGTGCTGAAGACAGAGCTCTTCGCGTTTGGGCAGGTTTCGGGGTGCGTCGTCGTCGTAGACTCCGTAAAGGTTTTGTGGCCGTCGGAGCGGAGAAGGAGTCCAGGGGTTTCTGTTTTCAAGGCCAGCCTTACATTGAAAGATTTTGGATGTGGGGTCCCGAACACTGGGATACATACGGGCTCGCCGTTGATCTTTCAAGATATATGGGTAGTTGTCAAAATTATGGTCCCTTTTGGGGTACCCTAAATAATAGGTGCCGTATTATAATAAGGACCCTAATTTTGACAACCACCCATATTATCATATGCCAGACTTGATACCGCAGGCCGGTCGCAAGTCGCTGGATGAAGGCAGAGCCCGGGACTCGGCTCCTTTGGGTCCTTGTCTCTCGCGAGTCCGCGGTGATGTGTGGCCAAAGTATAGGGAGCCGTGGCCAGAACTTCAGTTTAGGGTTTAGGGTTTAGGGTTCATCGTCATCGTCCTCGTCGCCGTAGTAGTCGCGGCAGGAGAAGCAGCAGCAATGTCGTACTCGCAGTAGTCGTCGCCGAAGCAGTCCTAGAGATATTGAGCGGTGCCACCGGAGCAGCACCAGCCAT